TTGGGCAAAATAGGTGCTTGAACTTGACACGCTTGCGCGCTTGGACCTATGCTGACACCCAAACAAATCCTTACCTACTTTGTTCGAGTGGCTCGGTGCACACCGGGACGTGAACTTTCCGAGAGAGTCTGAGGTCGACGCTTCTGCGGCTTTCGCATGGGTCGGAGCATGTCACTTATTCTCAAGTTTGTTGGTCGGTGTTGTAAGTATGGCCTGCCGGCGACGAGGATTGTGCAAGGCAGATGAGCTGGTGCATGCTGCGCCTTTCCCCACGAAACGAATCGTAAACTCCTCTACCCTGTGCCGTTTGATGATTTGTTGGGTTTCTGCTTGACCGCCTGACTGCAAGTCAAGCATTTACAACCCTAGCAGCCCAAACAAAACGAAGCCCTTGCAGCACCCTTGTACAAACCCAGCTGAATTAAAACACGTTATGGGACCCCTGTACAACGCCGCTGACGTCCTATAAGAGGCCTGTATGCAATCCTTGTGTCAGGCCAGAATGAAATGCGAAAGCCTCAAGAGAGCGCCCCTAGTTAGTATAGGGGCCTAAAGAATTAGAATAGGGTTTGGGTGTATATGACTATCGCGATAATAAGGAACCCCCCAAAACCCTGTTCTAATTATTAAGGCCCCTACATTAGTCGCCAAGGCAGGAGGTGGCCGGGTACCAGCGAACAGCCCTGCCGCCTCTACAGCATCACTCTCCAGGCAGAAGCAGTTTAGGGTGTTTGAGGTTTGGCGGTTTCCGTGAACTTTGTGGATCAGGACGACGGATTTAAGGGGAAGGGCGCTTCAGATTTTGGGTCTGGTCTTCTGGTCAGGAATTAGGTGCCTGCAGATCTTCGCCGCTAAGAATTTTCAGTCTTCACGCAAGGGAGCCTAAGGAAGAGTGAAAAATTATAAACCCCTCTAAAACCCTGGGCCCTGAAAACACGTATGGAAGTTTCAATACTCAAGCCTCAGAACCTTGAGCCGCAGCCTAGAAGCGGGCTAGCGTAAGAGTTTCAAGGCTTTTTCTTCTACCCATGGCTGCAGGCGCAACACCAAAACCAGCAGGAACTAGCACATAAGATCCGGGAGAACGACTTACTTGCAAGAACGCGTAGGACTTGGGGCACATAGGGTTCCAGAACATTCAACCCCGACTAAAATCCTGTACGACTTCCTTGAGCCACAGAAAGAGCAGGAAACCTTCCAACAACCTCTCGAACCTTACCACTTAGTCTCGATGAAGATGCCGACAAAGCTTTGCACTCAGGTCCGCCAAAGCTCCACGGGAAAACCCTCAAGTCTTCTACCTCTCTGTGTCAAAAATTCGGAATCCCTGAACGTGATCCCCGAAATCCAGGCCCTCTGCCCACCGCTTCGCTCGGGGTGCGGCAACGAAGGAGGACTGGACTCGCACCCCGTCGGGACGAGGGTTTCGGTTTAGGGTGTGAGGTTTGGGGTTTAGGGCCAGAGGGACTGAGCCATGTCAGTGATTCTGGGGCTAAAGGGCTTAGGGCTCAAAGTTCAGGGCTTTAGGGATCAGGGCTTTGCGGTTTAGGTCTGTAGTGGCTTTAATTTTGTTGGGTTTCCGGTTCAGGGCTGTTCAGGATCTCGAGCTTAGAGTCTAGACTCCGGGCTGCAGGGAGGATGACAAACCCCTGTATTCCCAACACCGTAAACCAGAAACATCTATATATGTGACGTTTGCTCTAGCGATAGCTAGAATGCCAGAAGATCCTGCTGATCGACTCCTGGGATTCTGGTTCATCTAGCGAGTTGAAGTTCGGCCGGTCTTCGTGCAAGCACGTCGATCAAACTGCGAAACCCGTCGCAGCAAGTTTTTCATGCCGGCCTTTCACCGAGCCTCAAGTGGCTGCATGCTCGCGTTTCTAGCTGCTTCTGGGGTTGTCGTTCCAGGTAAAAGATGGTATAAGCCACGAAGCCTTCACTCAGAACCAGCACCCGAAACACCGAATCCCTGAAGCCTCAGCCCTGTAGAATCCCGAGGCCTCGTGCACAAGGCGAACACCTTCATACTCCGCTCCTACGTGGCGATGGCCGAGCGGGAGCCGATCACAAAGTGCCTTTGAAGGTAAGCAAGAAATGAGATCCTATGCGAGGCTTGCTGGTGCACTGGTACACTGCCAATTGCTAGTGTTGCAACTGCTGCTAGAACTACAACGCCGATTCCTGCTCTCACTGCTGCTGCCACTACAGACTACGGCTACGGCTATTTGCTGCTCCGATTACCACCACCACCACCACCTCTGACGACTGCAGTTTGAAAAACGTCAAGCTGCAGCTTCTTGATTTGACCAAGACTTGGATTCAAGGCGCAGAGAGTGTACGGCACGGTTTAGGATTTCGGATTCAGGCATTTGGTGTTCTGCTCGAACATGCTCTCAAGTGTCCTAGGAATAGCTTTTTCTGTCTTGTTGTGCTTCGAACATGCGCAGGCCTAGGTGAGAAGAGTCTTTCAAGCGCCTCACGGTGCACATCCTAAAGCCTGAAATCTTTAAATTGACATGGCCCGAAAGTCTCTAACTCGCAGCCACCTCCGGTAGTAGCGCGCAAACCTAATTCCTGCAAGGTATGTTGAGGAGGCTACCCGGGCTTTTCTGGATGCCTGGGAGTTTGGGAGCTTGCGTCTCGGCACGATCTCTGTTCGGTTCTCGAAATGGCCTAGCTGCGAAGAGCACTAAGGCTCTTGTTGTGCTAGTAGTAGCAGTCACAGGATCAGCCAGAGGTGGTAGTACTACTACTGCTACTACTTCTACTACTACTGCTACTAATACTATTACTACTATTACTACTACTACTACTAGTACTACTACTACTACTACTACTACTACTACTACTATTACTATTACTACGACTATTATTATTAGTATTACAACAACTACTACTACTACTCCTACTACGAC